ACTAGTGATCAGGCGACAGGCGGTATCTGATCAGGCGGTGTCTGAATACGGTCAGACAGCATTTCCGGCAGTTTATTTTTCAAAATTGTCTGGGAAAGCATCCCATACCCTCCGTAAGGGCTCCCTACTTTGGCGCTCGTGCGTGGGCTTCGTCGAGGTTCGCAAGTCCGTTCGTTTGACACTTTATCTCAACGTTCAGTGTCCGAAATACTGCCAGACTGCATTTCGGCAGCCTTTTTTTCAAAAATGTCTGGGGGAGTCCCCCTACCCCTAGTTGAAACTCGTGCCTTTGCCCCCTTAACCATGGACTTTGTCCCAGCTTTGCCCCTTCAATCACTGGCGGCTGGCGCCGCCAATTCCTATGAACTGTCCCTGAAAAGTAGTGCCCGGAATTTGAAATGGGTCGCTGCTCAACAATGGCAACTCACCATGTGGGGCCAGAAAACAAACGTTGATTAATTAAGCACAAAATCAAATGAACCGTGATCTGATGTAAAATAACAAGAGTTTAACTAAAACTGTTTTTCAAGGATGTACAAATTGGTAGAACTCTTAATATAATGGATGGCAATTAAATGATAAAATACAAATGTTGATGAATAATGGTATTATCCTGTGTATACGACAACAACAAAAGGGACTAAATAGGTTTGGGGGCGTTTGGAAAAGTGGACAATGAAATATTTATGAAACATTTTCTTTTTATTTCGCTGAAACATAATAGTTTATCCTATCATCTTGTAAGATGTGGGGAAGATATATTCTACAAAATATTATTCTGTGGTGTTTTTCATCACAAGAGTTCCACATGATATTGAACTTAGAAAAAAAAAATCATTTTTTTTCCAAAAGTTTCTTCTCAGACCTCCCTATATGCCTGTGTGGTACCACATTCCATAAGATTTTCGACTTGATGTTGTGGGTCTGTGGTGTTTTTCACCACAAGAGTTCCACAAGATATTGGACTTCGAAAAAAAAATCTTTTTTTTTTTCAAAAATTTCTTTTTAGACCTCCCAATATGCCTGTGTGGTACCACAATCCACAAGATTTTTGACTTGGAATAATTTTGATCGAGTGTTTTGGGTCTGTGGTGTTTTTTTACCACAAGAGTTCCATAAGATATTGGACAAAGAAAAAAAATCCTTTTTTTTTTCAAAAAATTCTTCTCACACCTCCGTGTGTGCCTGTGTGGTACCACGTTCCACAAGAATATTATTTTAAATCGAAAATCTTGTGGAATGTATCTATTTTCAGAAACCTAATATCTTGTGAAACTGTTGTGGTGAAAAGTTCCACACAAATGCCCCCAAACCTTGCCATAGATGTAATTTTGCTGCCCAAACGGCGGTAATGGTAACATGCATACGCTATGCATGTCTCTGTCTCTGGTTCACTTCCGTTGTAGGCCGTGAAAGTTCCTCGGTATTTACCGGCAGGGCGAAGGGATCGAGTTAAGAACCCTTGACATTAACTCTGTCGGTACAGGACGATAAACCCCATTACATTTCATTTCTGTCATTGAGTCAAGTGGTGTGGTTTCAAGTCCCCGCTTTGAGCATGCTTATTGGTAGATTTGACGCTCAAGAAATGGATATTTATATTGTACCTGGCAAGGTCGCCTGTCCAGCCTCGTGGGGTTTTCCTGTATCCTTCGGTTTCCTCCCTTCATATATGTTAGTCCGGAAATTAATAGTTTGTGTGGAGTGGACGTTAAGCAATTTCAAATTGAAAAACCAACATCATTTAGTTATAATTGTTTCATGAACTGCTGATGAAAACGTGTTTGGATTAAAATGGGTATGCTCCTTTGAATTATTTAAAACCCTTGAGGGATAAAACAAAAAAGAGCCGCCCTAAAGCTCGAGATTGTTAAAATTTCGTTATTATATTGACTATAGAAGGAGAGTATTATTTTGCATGAAAACAATTTTCCCCAAAGAGTAAAAATCAAACTAATTCGAAATCAAATATACAATAAATATTCGATAAACCGAAATTTTAATTAAATGTCAAATTTGAAAAAGATAGATACTATGCCTGATCTTTAGTCCATGTCAATGTTATTTACTGACTTTAGTTAGAGCACCCGAAAAATGTCACCCAACCGACCGTATAATTTTGATCGCAAAATCGCCGACCCTAGGTTTGTTTATTAGACCTGCAGACCAGAGTATTTTGGTCAAACAGACACCGTACCAATATCCGAGTACCGGAACTTTTACTGGGTAACCTAATATTCAGATATGACAATCCGCCGGGGTCCATTTGCTGCATGTTGCCATTGGAGCCCAAAGATGGTGCCCCAAAATCCCCTGGATCAAACATTTGGAACACTACATGGAACTAAATTGAAATGAACAGGTATTTTTCATTGAGTACAAAATAGACCCTGCCACACCAATTTTCCTCTGCATCAATTTTCTATTTCATTAAATAGAAGTATCTCGATAAAACCTACGAGGTCAGACATGTTTGAGAGGGTGGTGGTGGGGAGTCGAATCCCCACCTTAATTCGTCGTTCGGTTGGATAAAGAATTTCAAGGGGGATGGGAGGCATCAGTTCAAAAATATTACAGATAACTGTCCTGTAGATTTTATCTATAATACATATTATCTAAATTACAGATAGTTGTTCTATGGATTATATCTAGAATTCATATCATCTAAATTATAGATAGTTGTCCTATAGATTATATCTACAATACATATTATCTGAATTATAGATAGTTGTCCTGTTGATTTTATCTATAATAAATAATATCTAAATGATAGATAGTTGTCCTGTGGATTATATCTACAAAAATACAATGTATGTTACAAGAAGTACCCTGGACAATCAACAGTTTGGAGCGCTGCCATGTATTAATGTGAACAAGATATCTGTTTATTGCCAATACTTTGGACCAGGTACAGATGCGGAATGAATACTTCAAGTCATTACCACGTATGTACTATTCAATTTAAATTATATCATGTTAGTAAAAAGTTTGCTTAGGATTATGCGACTTATTTTTACCCATTTCAAACTTTGGGTCTGACAGACCTCGTCAAGCTTTAGTAATCTGTCATATTTATATTTGAATAACTTGTTTTCGACCGCAATCGACCGTCTTCATAAGCCCGATTGGTGCAGAACAGTATGATGACTAAGAACGTTACATCCCATTCCATTTCATTTAATTCAAAGATAATCGAAAGTATATAGTTTTCCTACCATTGTGATAAAATAGTTTGAAACAGCTTACTGTTTAAGATAATTAAATTATGTAGCTTCTGTCTGTTCGTATCAAGAAAGTGACCGAAAGAAATAAACTGTTATGGAGATGCCTAATCCTATTTAGCGTTAAATAGATAGCCAAGGAGTTTCCTGTCACGGGTCTATATGGAGCGGAATTCACGACATAATTCTAACTCCTAATCTAGCAATGAATAATGCTAATTTCAATGCATGTATGGTAACTTTCCTCTTACATACATGTGTGTTAAACTGGATATTTACACATGTACACAACTAATTTATTTGACTTGTTTCTTAAATAGTGTAGTTTCGATTTTTAGTTTGTTTTATTTCCATCGTTACTTTTAATTTCCTATGATGTTTTTGATATGAAAGCGATAATTTCATATTTTTAAGTTATATTTTTAAAATGTATTAAAATAAAGCCTTAAAATAGATGGTATCTATAAACAGTCCTACCTTGTTAAAGAATAATCCTATTAATCCTATAATTCACTATTGCCAGTTGAGAAATTGGCAAAAATAGCATTTTCAACTTCAAATTCAAACGTTTGAAGATAGCTATTCCATCGGGGGAATAGAAAAACAAGGGAGGTAATTGTGTTATTTTTTCCGGGGTGAATGATGTTTAAGTGTGAGAATGATACCTATGATCGTATAATAGTGAGTTGAGAACCCATTGAGCAAAAGACATAGAAATAATTATGTTTTGGCTTTCTTAGAAAATATGAAATTCTCGTTTTAAAGCAGATTGAAGTCTGTTTAGCTTTGTTAACATTTTGGCATTTCATAAATGTTATAAGAAGCGTTTTGCGATGTACTCCTAACCTTCAATCTAGTACTATAACCGAGTATTGCTGTTACAGCAGATTACAGGGGGTTGTAATGCTTTCGAAAATAGCATTAAGCTGAAGTTAAGTATTATTAGGCCTATATTTTGTTCATATTCGTATGACCAAAATTTAGGGGCACATAACTCGTTTAAAACCGCTAACCTATCAGTAGAAATATTGAAAGGTAAGAAACAACACATATACAAACCCAATATCAAACCTAATCGTTAAAAAAGTGTTTATTAGCTTAGGATCATTGTACTTTTAATACTTCATAATGATACATCTATCTTGTGTTTGACTTTCAGCGCCTTAGTTAACTGTAGCTCATTATATTGGTGACAACGATTTTCAGCAGGAAGATAACTGAGAATGGCTGGACGGATCTAAAACATTTTATTGGCCCTAGTCGATTGCAGAACCAGATGGAGGTACCGGTGAACACTGCACAGGGATGAAACGGTAGGAGACTGGACATATTTTTTTTTACATGCCTACGGTGACATTCTCGTACCAGGGTGAGGGGTGAATCCACCCTCCCCACACCCGCTCAGCTACATAAACAAACTTGTAAAACAATACTTTTATGAGAAAAGTGTCACGGCCGTGTGAAGTACCCTTAAGATCATAGGTTAAAAACGAGAGGGAAGACGCAAATGTCTTCATACATGTTTATGTATATTTGCACGTGTTTATTATAGGAGTGGATGTAGTCGGTTCGGGTAACATTAATCCACTCTCCTGAGTAAAACTGACGTTGTACTACAAAAACTTATGTTTTTGAAATTATTCACTTGAATTTTTCTATGACGATTTTTTTACACTAAAAACAAAATTCAATAGACATCATTAAGATGTGTTCATGTCAATGGAAATTTATAAAAGATTACAATTCTTTTTAAACAAATTTTATGTCAACATGAATTTACCATTTAGAATTGCCACAATAATAAATAACTTAGAATGTAGAAATTTCGTATATTTCCATGAAAAAAAAGCGAGAATAATCTGTTACAGTTGCAGTTATTTTCGCTCACTTCTTGTGAATACCATGTCCTACGAATGTCAGTTCATACTTTTGTAAGCAAATTGTGATTTTTCTGTGTCTTTTTCTGGAACTGTTGACTGTTTTCTTGTGACGAAACCAATAATTAACATAACAATGAGAATTATAAGAGATATCCTGAAATAAAAACAAGTGAAATGTGTTATTTTGTTGTAGTACGCTGGGGCCGATCCAGGAATTGCAGGAGAGGGGGGGGGCGGGGTGCCAGTTGGCAATGCATGATGCCATCATCGTCTCCAAATTACGTAGGCATACATACACACCGAGCTTTTTAAAGAGAGAAATTCAACACCCCGTTTGACGTCAATTTGTTATTATTGATAGGATCATATTGAGATTCAATTTCATTGATGCTAAGCATTAATTGTAATATCATATATGTCTATATCATTATCTCGCGCTTTGAATGCCCATCCCATCCCACAATCTGATGATAAAGGATAAAGCACACGACCGTGACACTTTTCTCATAAAAGTATTGTTTTACAAGTTTGTTTATGTAGCTGAGCGGGTGTGGGGAGGGTGGATTCACCCCTCACCCCGGTACGAGAATGTCACCGTAGGCATGTAAAAATATGTCCGTACGCACGCATTTAAGCAAATGTTCAGTGAATGTTCCTTGACTATTCTGGAGATCGACTATTGTGTCATTGACTGGAAAGGTCAGTCGGATAAAAATAGTTCCTATTTAGTGTAAATGGGAACACAAAATAACACGCGACGGCGTACAATGAGTAAAAGGCACCAATTTTGCCCGGACCAGTTTGTGTTACTGCGTCAGGTATTAGCCAATTACTCATGCGCCTACTGTATAGAGAAGACAAACTATCAAGATATTTTAATATCTTGATAGTTTGTTAAAACAGATTTGTACTTACTGTATAGAGAAGACAAGATATTAATAGATTGGTACTTACTGTCAAGATATTAATAGATTAGTACTTACTGTATAGAGAATACAAAATTTCAAGACAGTAATATATTTGTACTTTTCGTATCACTACAGTAATAAATTTGTACTTACTGTACAGAGAAAACAATCTATCGATAAACATGTAGTTGTACTTACTGTATAGAGAAGAGTAACAACCACAATAGACCTGTACTTACTGTATAGAGAAGAGTAACCATACAATAGTTTTCGCATTGTAAATATCTGGATTAGGAGATGGACTCATACTAGCAGTGACAACACCTGATGTTGGCGGTAAAAAAGTTGTCGTTGGTTCTTGAAAGCAGGCATATTGACTTCTTAATTCAAAAAACTGAAATGGGATGAATGATGCTTGAAGAGACGGTAGCCACAGAGAGTGCTTTAATGATAATAAATACAAAACTATAATTTACTTCCAGGTAACTTGAGTATTACTTTAAACTAGGTAGTTGATCAAGTAGAGCCAAACTGTAATCAGGTGTCATTTCTATTGTAAAGGATTAGAAATGGCTAAATATCGAAAATGTCCTTGTTTTTGTGTCAGTGAATAATCCCACGAAATTCGATAGAGAACTCTCCTTTGTCGCGATAATAACCTTTAGAAATCAAAATGTGGCAGTAAAGAAAGGGGGAGAGGGGTGACCAAGTGTCGCGCTGTGCTCTGGCTTGCCGGCAATCTCTGACTTGCGGTCAGTGGTGTGAGTGTACGTGACATTGAGATATGGCCCCTTCTCCCTGTACCACGGTTTCCTCCCACACGAAATACAATACTAAAATAAGACAATTCGTCTGAGATATAACCTACGGTGGAGTACCACGGTTTCCTCCCACACGAAATACAATACTAAAATAAGACAATTCGTCTGAGATATAACCCACGGTGGAAGCGAACAACTAAAAAAAAATCGGGCGGTGTAATCTACCGTAGACCAATGATTATTCGTCAACTAAAGAAAATCAATCAACAAAACATCTTTGGCGTGCGCAAGCCTTTCTTATTATAACAGTTTACATTCTACAGAGAAATAAAACTTACGTATTTTCCTGACTGGTATGGTTGTTCACCGGTAACTATTAAGTTACCTTCTTGTGTTGGGTCGCATGTCAGACGTATAGTTGTCGTTCTTGAAAAGAAAAATAAAATGAAATGAAATGGGGTTTAACGGAACATCTTGCTGTTCGGCTCCAACTGGGCTAATAAAGACGGGCATACGCCATGCAGTGTGCAATAAGGGAAATTATGTCGAATTCCAACTGTTGGTTCGTTTGGGAAGTATTGAAAGTGGTTATATAAGTATATCATTTTTTGTTTCTTTAGGTTTTGCAATGAAGAAATTGCATTACCACAGCCATCGTCGAATACCCCATAAAACTATGCTTTTACATAAAGAGAGAGAGAGAGAGAGAGAGAGAGAGAGAGATGGGGTTTAACGTCCACTCGACACAAACTAGGTCATTTCGGGACTAACATATGGTTTAATTTTATTTCAATAATTCGCTTGCGCGTAGGGGTCTTTAGTAGTGGGAGGAAACCGGAGGACTCGGACAAAAACCCACGAGGTTGGACAGGCGACCCTACTCCTTGTCAGGTACAACCGGGGATTCGAAACCACGCCAGTTGACTCAATGACAGGCCTTATGATACGGCACGCACGTGCTAACCATTCGGCCATCCAACCCCCCCTTTTACATAAAATATGACTGTTCCTCAGTATAAATGTAAAAATAAAATACCTTTCGATATCTCCATAAGTATGGTAGATTAATGATCCACTCTGATCAGTTCCATCTTCATAACTTATTTTATCTTGCACACCCAGGATAAAGAAAAACTGCTGACCTGGGCCTGACTGACAGATCTGAATATAAATATAGAGGCTGGAATAAACATCACATTCGATAATTGGTTTCGTCTATTTTAGGAATGCTCATTATATGTTGGGTTTCGCTCTGTGCACCCTAGTTTACTAATCATTTAGAGAGCGAGCATGGATACCAACGTTTCAATTTATTTTAGCTACCCCTGTATCATATCATCGTAAGGGCTGTACCTTATGCGCAATGGTGGGATTTACAGTTCAGATGTCATTGAAATTATGCAATTGGTTGACTTTGAATTACTAATGAAAGGCGAACCGCGGTTGCGATTCCAAACTGTTTTGAATATGCATTTAAAAACTGCCTGTTTTCCTTTTTTTAGAAAAAAAAATCTGAAACTTTTTAATTTTTATGGAACTGGAACCAAAAGTTGAATTCTATGCCTAATGTACTATAATTACTTACTGCAACATTTGAACACGTGCCCTCATTAAATGGTAAACATGGATTCCAGGAATAAGAATACAAATGATCAGTGGTCCCTTGTAGGTCTTTAAATCTACAAAACATTTTGATAAAACTAGCTTTATTTCTGGAATTAAATTAATAGCTCTGTATTGAACGTTAACATATACTTACGGAAAACAGCTAGGAAGCATTATGAACTTCAACACAACGTTGAAAGAATACTATTCCAAACGCCGCCCAAATATATAAGTTGCTGTTTTCCCTAACTATGTGTTATAGTTTATTACTCTATCCGGTTACTAAATGCCTCTAAATGATTATATATTATGTACTGAAAAATTGCTGGAGTGAGTAACTGATATTCCAATAGGAATCTGATATTAGCACGTTATGAATTAGTAACCAAAAACCTCATATACGAGAAATAATATAATACATGACCCGATTCTGTTTCCGTAATTGAAATGAAATGATACATTTTTAGTGTCCACAAAGATGGGTCCCAACGGCATCTAATAAATCTCGGATTCTGTCTCAAACCCCTTATAGATATATGTTATTAGATAGTTGCAGAGGCTATAATAGTTCCTAAAAACAGTAGCTATGTCTTCTGACACTATAGCTTAGACGGTCAACTGTCAACATTATGGATATAGCTATTATATAGACCGGACTTAATATAGGTTCGGTTATCAAAGGTCACTCTGCCCGAGAATGGTTATAGTATTTTCGAGGAAATGTGTTCATGGGGATACACCCAAAACTATTTCATGATTATTCAGCATTAGATGAATGATACGAGGGTTGGCTGAAAAGTTCGAAGCCTATCTGTGTAAGATCTGTACAAAGTTGATGGTTTCCATTTATATTTCTACATATAGTCCCCTTCGAGGTGTACACACTTTTACCAACTAAATTGCAAGGCCTAGATGCCGGTTCGGGAGAAATTTTTCAGCCACCCTAAAAAAGGTCGTTTGCAACTGACATGACGTCATCATTCCATTGTTTAGACTGAATTCTGGATTCTGGTTGAAAGTGATGAATCCAGGTCTCATCCGTGGTAACAAATCTGGCCAAAACATTATCAAAATCTGCATCAAAACGGGCGAAGATTGTCATGAGACTTTAGGAATCTGACACGTTCCTGATTCGTATATAGTCTTTACTGCTGACTGAGAAAAAAGGAAGGGACATCATCTGTGATGGGGTTGGTCCTTTCAGTTGCATGAGATACTTGATGAGAGCCCTATAGCCGGTTTGTCTATTTCTGCTGATTTCAATGGGTAGGTTCACAAGGTGGTCTTGTTCGAAGACAACAGTTGCAGTTCTTATGTCTATGATTCATACAATGATTGTACTGATTGGAAGTTAAAGTTTGTTTCAACCCAATTGATCTATCCTTCTCAGACTTAGAGCGTTTCAGCCAGCCCTCGTATACAAACCTGGGAGTATTATCTGTATTTCCTAGAGGTGTTAAATCAATCGTTCCCTGGCTTGTCTCAATAACACACGAATTATCCAACCATCTAACTGGACCTTCAGTAGCCAAGGTACACCCCACAGTCAATAACAAACCAATTACACGAAACATTTTACCGTCTTTCTAATATAATTAATAAAAAGTAAATGCTAACTGTATATGATTTAATAAAGAGTATAGCCTATTTATATGATATCAGTTTTATCACATGGTGATGATATCAAAAACATCTTATCAATGTTATCATCATGAAAGTTGTGAAATGTGCTCTACGAATCACGTCGCGTTATGAAACAACCATCTTTTCTAGGTTATGTTCAGCTTTTGTATATTTACTACAGGTTAATACGTATAAGCAATAAGTCTACATAGATAAACATAACGTTACCTAGAGGTCAGAAATACGTTTTGTACTTATCATGCCTATGAAATGCAGTGAAACTTTTCGTGAAAGCTATTTACGGTCCAAAAAAGCTCAACGTTCACATTTAGTAGATAAATACATGCGCTTCATGTAAAGAGGATTAGTGGGGAGTAATGGTGGCTAGGTAAGGCACTGGTTCACTCACCAGATGCGAGAGAGTGGTATTAATCAGATGAGTAGTTAGATAGGAATGAGTAATATTAACCAGATGCGGATGGATAGCATTAACCACATGCGGATGCCAGTGTGTAATATTGCGCATTATGTGCAGCCTTAACAGATTTGTTTGTAAATTTCTACTTAAAAACATTTTCGATAGATAGCTTCTGATCATAATATGTGTATTTGTATCCAAACAGTTGATATGATTAGGCTGGGTTGATAGTAATATCAAACTTTGTCACATGCTTCATGTTTTGATTAATCACGTTTATCTTTTGGAATTGACATCGGCCAATAATTCTACGTATATCTGTATGTAATCGGACGACTTGTGGAAATGACAAAGAAGGTGTGTCTAACCATTCAGCTCAGACACTGTAGGAAGGTAAACAGGCAGTTCTCGTATTTAACCCATGAGAGATAAAATATAGAAAATGAAAGAATGATTCGTGGCCAAACCAGGGCAAAACTAATGCACCCTCTTGATACACTCCGATATCTCTTAGCCTCTGTTTCTCGTGTGTTTAAAGCAACGCTCAAAGGGATTGGCTTGTTTTATATCACACAAAACAGATTACAATTAGCAGGAGCGTTAGTTCTTCCCCTAATCCATAATTTAAAGAGGGACAATAATGTTTTGTTCCAAGAATATGGAAGGAATGGGGCGGGGGGGGGGGGGGGGGGCGCTTTAAATAGGTATACCTTATTATGGGAGTTGATGTCATTTCTAAACATTTACTCTATTATCGACATTCGGGTCATGTTTTAAGATATGGAATAAATTGAATAGCATATTCGTCCTTTATGTTTGAAATTATTCTTTTATTTATGAAACAATGAATGTCAAAATTAAAAGTAACCTGTATGCTAGATCAGTACAATAACTAAATTACAGCAACCACTTCTTTCTATAGAATGTCAAATTATTAGAAATTAAATCCTAAAATAGTAAACACATTGGCCTGTTGTGTTCTGAAACGTTTTAATTTGAGTAGATTTATAATATTTCTTTTAGTCATTTAGATTTCTTATATTGTTTCTTTAAAATTCATTATAGTAATCCAGTATGCTTCTTATGCATCACACAGATCGTGATGTCCATCAACAATGGTATTACATTGAATGCAGAACTTTGGTACAGTGATACGTGCTGGAGTTACATGAGACTGGTCTTTGAAAAATCCCGAATAAATGTTTATAATTGCGGATTTGCATATTTTGATGAGAACCAAAGGGCGCCGTGGATTCAGGGACTCCATGCTAACTTTCGGAATTTCTCTTCTCCCTGGAGTCTCCGGCTGTCTATTTTGCCCCCCTTGAGTTAAACGGGTGTCTATATGTCCGTTGGGTTGCGTTGGTGTGTTCTTTGCGAATCTGAACATATTCAGCAATGGAGCCAAATTGAATTGCGGCCGCTGTCGTCTTTCCTTGTTTGAATTACCACAAACGATTTGTTTCGTTTCTGGTTTGGTAGTGGCTTCCAACCAATCAGCTTTTATATTGAGTTTTAAGTTCCGACGTCTTAAAATGTCGATGAATGATGGAGACTCTGGAAAATATATTTTAAAAAAAGGTGAATTAGTTAGAGGAGAATTACCATCTCCCCCCCCCCCTTTCCCCCCGCCTAAAAAAACAAGGTTCAAGAATTTTGTGAATTCGGCAGATGATGCACAACAGATTTGCAACGAACACCCACACATACCCTTAAGGCTAGTTCTATTTCTAAAAAGAAAAAAAACCCAATATACTGAAATTATGATCCACAATAGTTTGTTATAGCGTTGGTAAATGGAGAGTTATAATGAATTATATTCATTGCTTTCATCATAACATAAGTGTGTGAATTTGATTTTATGGAGACTTACGGTGCCATCTTGAGATGGGTCCACAACCCACGTGGCTTTTGTTCGGTTTAGTCCGGATATTTAGGACACGATATCTTTGCTTCTTATTAAGTCAGAGTGATGAAACTTCGTGTGTAGTTTCATTACACCAATAACCTAACTAAGATTGATAATGGTTGATGCTTTATAAAAAGACAAAATATGCAATTATAAAATGTGTGTCATGTAATTACTTTTTAAATTTGGCGGGGGGGGGGGGGGTATCAGCCCGACTGATAGCTTGTTTGTTTGTTTTGGGTTGTTTTTTTTTAGGTTTGCCATACATACTCTGACGCCATATAATAAATATCGAAGATGCCATTCCAAGAATGTTAGAATTCTTTATTGATAATATTTTGTGATGAGGTGTTGCTATAGGAACGAACAGAAGACGTATTATCATTATATAATCTGTTGTTTGTTGACCATATAGATTATGTAATATATGCCCATGAGTTATAGATTTAAGATACCACCAATATTGACCCAAAATAGAAAATTATTGTGAAACTATACAACAAACGGTTCGATAGTAATTTTCCAATCGTTAATTTCCCATTTGTCCGCATTAAACCAGATTACCGTACAATACATATCTTAATTACACCCTTACACAGTGAGTGCACTTAATATGTTAATGACTTTCTTCTTAGGTGATACTGATAGGTTTTTTTTTTCCAAACACCTGATACTTCTTTCCCATGCATACACCAGTTATTTTTGTTTCAGAATCACATCCTCAAATATGCAACAACATGATTTGGTAATAAATAAATACAAATTGCTATAAATATCGACTTGTTTATCGAATTTAAATTGGATGGGGTTTTTTTTACCGATAATAAATATTTCAATTAATATATGGATCAGAAGATAATTATTTCCGAACGGTAATTTGTAGATCAATAGACGGATTGTTTGATACAAGTTAAAAGCGTTCAATGTCAGCATGATTCCATTAAATATCATCCAGATAAATATTAGGGCCATGCATGCATTTTTGTAAATACTAGGCTATTGGTCATTGAAATATTGATGAAAAGTTTTCCTGCTGGATAACCAGAAATGACCCACTCTTCATTTCTTTAAAAGCTAAACTATTTGTGCGTCGCTTGTGTTTAAAGCAAATTCAAATATGAAGAGCTATGTTTTGTTCTTATTTCTGATTTCAGGAACGTTAAGTAGCAACCCTCTTTTCATATCCAAAACAATTTGGTCAAAGAACACGAATGGATTCATAAGAAATATTCTGGAAGTTTTAAAATGGGAAGAAATGACGGTCATTTATAACGATGTTGATCCATCAATGGATTTGTTTATAGAAGATCTGCTAGAAATGTTGGATACCGTAAACATGAGAAGAACAGTTTACAAGATGGAAGTTGTCAACCTTATTACATCTCTCTATAAAATACACAAAGCACAGTTTCCTACTGTTCAGATTTTGTATGTAACGACGGATAACCCAGAAACGGAGTCTCACGTGATGAAGACTGTAAATGATTTTGATTTTAATTCAAATAGGACAACTGACTTCAGAGTAAAATCAAAATGGCTATTACTGACGTATCCGGTTGTAATCAAAGCTTTAGATGAAATATTAACAGACTTGTGTCACGTGACAGTAATCCACCAATCTGTAGATGGATGTTTTGGAGTAAATACTCTCATGAAGAAAGAAAATGGAAACTTCTGGACTTCCGTTCCTAACCTTTCAAGAGTTCAGGATATTTTTCCAAATGTTAAGTATCATTTCAACGGAAGACGGTTGTTAATAGGGTCATTGCCTTACCAACTTTTACAAAAGAAAGTTATAAATGGTACATCAGTGTATACCGGATGGATGTTTGATTTGCTAGAAGACATGGCTGCAGATTTAAATTTCACCTACCAAATAATAGAACCAACAATCGGTTATTGGGGTGTTAAGACAGACAACAACACGTGGGACGGATTGATTGGTCAAGTACAGCGTCGTGAAATTGATATATTATATGCTGAGTATATTATTACTGCAGAACGAAGCCAAATCATGGATTTTATATTACCCCCGATCAGTACATCGTCTACGGGTATAGTCTACAGAAACCCTGCCGAAGAAGAAGAAACGTGGTCATCTGTATTGAAGCCATTAAATACTAATGTTTACATCCTGTTATTCGTTTCGTTTATCCTATTTTCATTTTTGTATATAGCAACTGAGACTTTTCCTGTGCTTGATTTAGCCCTGGAACAAAATAGGGAATACCTGAAGTCTTGGCAAATATTGTTTGACATATTAGGATGTCTTTTTCTTAAGGCAGGTCATATTAATCCAAGAACATGTAAAGGTCGAAACTTGTATGCGTCATGGTTGATATTTTGTGTTGTATTTGCAGCTGTTTATACCGCAAATCTAACATCTTCTCTTCTGGTAAAAAAATCTAAAACACCCTTTACTTCACTGGGAGAACTAGTTGAACAGAAGACATGGGGATATGGTATATTGAAAAATTCAGCAGTTCAAGGTATGTTTGAAAATTCGGCAGAAGAAGAGTACAGAAAAGTGTGGGAAGGAATTGTAAAACAAAATAAAACCGACCCTTCTGTTTTATCTGAAAACATAGATGATTTTATAGACAAAGTAGTGAATGGCAACTTT